ATGGTTCAAAGCTAAGTGGAAAAAATCAGAATGTGAAAAGTTAAGGAAATCACACCATAGTTACTGAATGGAGCAAATGGATGTAGATGTACAGCTTAGAATTCTTAGGATTCATTCTCAGCTACTAAGCATGATAAAAAAGTCTTTGACACTTTGATACTTGATTAAAAAATCACAGATATTTCTGAGAAAAACATGGATAGGACTAAGACATTTTAAGGCTTTTCAACTGATCTACAATATTGTCTTTTTATTTGATGTAATCTTAGACCTATTCTTTTTCCTTTACATAGAAGTATTGACTGAGGAACTTCCAATGTATAGATATTATGCTAGCAGGGAGGTATTCTAAAATAGGTAATCCATATTTTAAAAGAGAAATCGATAAATATATAAATATTTATAATATTAATATAATGCAGTAAGAGTTTACAGAGACATATACAAAATATTAGTATCTGGAGTATATTCATTAATGATAAACTCCTTTATGTGGGGAACATTCAAAAATAATACTGAAATAAAGTCTTTGCATATTTTTCATTAACTTATATGCAAAATTCTATGGTTAGGTTAGGCTAATACATTATTCACTGGTGACATAAATGCAATTTAATTTCATTTTTATTTCAATCTTCTGAAGAATTTTAATTTGTCATTTTTTACTACTACTTTACTTTGTAAACTGCCACTTTGTTATTACTCTCATATAGCTTCTCCTAAAATTTTACTCAAACATTGTTTTGAGTGCTTGACATTTATGCACTTCCTCAATTTCTAAAATTAAAACTGAGAAGAGCTTCAGAGTAAAAAAGAGGAATAGCAAATGTTAATAATTTACAAATATTTTTGAACATATCTTCTCAGAAGGCCATTAGATCAATATAAATAACCATGAAGTAAATCAAGGAACTGATCAGCAATTAGCAACACAAACTACACCGTCTGAAGAATGCAGAGTAATATACATACAAGTTGTGGTGATGTAAGGACAAAGTATTAATGATACGGCAATGATAATAGGGAAATATTCCTATGCCTTTTGTCCATAATGGACCGATTGCAAACAGTTTACAAACTTGATAAATAAAATACAGTAATTCCTCAATTAATATCCTTGGTAGGTTGTTAGAAACTGTCACTTTAAGTGAAATAACATACTATATAATGAAACCAATTTTACCACAGGCTGATTGATATAAACAAGAGTTAAGTTTCTATGACATGTCATTTCACTTAAAAGTCAGTTTCCAAGAATCTATTCACAACTTTAAGTAAAGAATTACTGTAAACACTACTGGCCCTGAGGTTTGTCTGTCCATCACTCTGTCTGTATGAATGAATGAAAGAATAAATAAATAAAGTTTCTTTCAATAAGTATAGAGAAAGTAAATAAAATTTTTCTTGTTTTATTTTTAGCCATACTTTCTTTACTCACCTGGGCCAAAAAAGGTAAACAACTATTTGGTATGATGCTTTAAACAATACATTTTACTAATCAAAGGTTTCTGCCAAATTAACAGGAGTTTCTGATTCTTAACCCACTTAACCTCCAAATATTAATTACACTATCAAGTTAAAGATGTGAAGTCCTGCAACATGTATGTGTGTGTATACTCTAAGATTGGAGCACCAAGAAAAACTGATGAAATATTAGGTCATTAAATATGAAATGTCTGATTTCAAATCACAACTGTAGTTTATTATATCTCAAAATAGAAACAGTACAATTAATCCAACTATGCACCTAAACTATTGACACAGTTTTGCCATCTTAATGGTAAATTGTTTATGCCAGCAGCAAAGAAGGCTGGAGAGTCAGTGGCCATGAAACTGTGAAAGGCATTTTTCCACAGCTTGTTGAGAATTGAATATTTTTCCTTGCAAGAAGTGGCCCAAAGCCCAGAAGTGGTAGTCATTTGGTGCAAGGGCTGGTGAATATGGTGTACTGACAGAGAGTTTCCAAGTCGAGCCTTTGTAGTTTAAGCAGCATTTTTTTGTGAGACATGTGGTGGAGTGTTGTCTTACAAGAGGATTGGCTTATCTCTATTGACCAATTTCAGCTGCTTAATCACAAGCATCCTCATCATTTAATCCAACTGGTTGCAGTAGATATCCACTGTAATCAAATGACAAAGCTTCCTGAAGCTGTAGTGGAAAATCCCAGCACTGGACCACCAAACAGACACCATTAGCTTTTCCTGATGAATATTTGGTTTTGCACTGTTTCGGCACTTCATCTTTATCCAACCATTGTGCTGAACACTTGAGACTGTCAAAAAGAATCAATCTTTCCTCACAGGTAATGAACAATATAGTGTAGAAATGGTTCACCTTTATATTGTGACAACAAAGAAAGGAAAGCTTCAAGACAATTTCTCTTGTGATGCTCGTTTAATTTCTGTGGAATCATCTACTCAGCTTCTTTACTTTGCCAATTTGTTTCAAATGGTCCAATACTGTTGGAATAGTAATATCAAACCTTGCTGCTCATTCATGTGTAGGTTGAGATGGGTTTGCTTCCACTACAGCTTTCAGCTTATCATTATCCACCTTGGTCTCAGTTCACCTACATGGCTCATTTTCAAGGTGAAAATCACCATAACGGAACTTCTCAAAACATCAAGGTACTACGTGTTCATTAGCCACATCTTTCCCAAACACTTCATTGATATTTCGAGCTTTCTGTGTTGCATTAGTTTCACAACAGAACTCATATTTAAAAAATAACATAAATTCTTGACTTATCTATGGTTTCACAAAAATTGCTCTAAAAAAGTTTTGAAAGATAATCATAAGCCAAAATATGTGTTTGAAAGACTGGGGATGTACCTTCACAATGAAAATAAAAAAAGAAGTGTCAAAGTGAAACGTCAGGGATATCAACTGTCAGACTTAATACTTAAGGAAATCAGACATTTCATATATTAACCTTAATCATATGCTGTGCATTGAGGCAGAGAATACTAAGAGTTTGCACCAGACTAAAATTTTGGTTTTCTTTAGAGAGAAATGCAAAGCTTTTGATTTCTTCTTACCTGTGAGAACCACTCTGAAGGCATGAGTCAATCTACATGACAAACACAATTTGGCCTCTTTGTCAGTTTAATGCTTATCCTGAAATACTCAATGGGTATCAGGTCAATCAGCTCTACATAGTCCCATCCAAGTCAGTTTGTCACTGAGTCAACAATATCTCCATAAAACCTCCTACTGATACATTTGAAACATTCTTGCAATCATTTTTTCTTCTATCAACATATCTAAATTCATTGAAAGTCATTTTATAAAAGACACCTGCTAGGTTTTCAGAACTATTATTGTCAACTTAAATAGCAATCAAGTGCCTATATGTGGAGAATGATTTCTTCCAACTCCCTATACTATAATACAAAATTCACCAACACCATGAATGGATAAAAGGAAACAAGGGCAAGGATATCAAGAAAAACCTAAAGTAATATGTAAACCAAACGCATGTTGAAGTAGAAAGCATAGAGATTTTAAACACTTTTTCTTTTTTTTTTTTTTTGAGACAGAGTCTCGCTTTGTTGCCCAGGCTAGAGTGAGTGCCGTGGCGTCCTAGCTCACAGCAACCTCAAACTCCTGGGCTCGAGTGATCCTTCTGCCTCAGCCTCCCGGGTAGCTGGGACTACAGGCATGCGCCACCATGCCCGGCTAATTTTTTATATATATATCAGTTGGCCAATTAATTTCTTTCTATTTATAGTAGAGACGGGGTCTCGCTCTTGCTCAGGCTGGTTTTGAACTCCTGACCTTGAGCAATCCGCCCGCCTCGGCCTCCCAAGAGCTAGGATTACAGGCGTGAGCCACAGCGCCCGGCCTAAACACTTTTTCTGACGTAGCAAAGATGTCTGAGTGCTCGGGAAGACCTTTGAAAATATAAAACAAGTATAATTCATTTCCTAGTTCTTCCTCTTTTTCTTCATCTGTTTTTTTTAAATATCCACAAAGGAAGAAGTAGGCCCTTTTAATAATATTACAGAACGTAAAACTCTTTACATTTTATTACCAAGTAATTTGTTCAACAGGCATCAATGCCCCTCTGAGTCTATCAGCCCCCTTCCATCAACCCCTAGACCCATCCTTCCTCACATCACACAGAGGTGCAGGGTTAGACAGAGAAGATCAAGGACTGAGAAGGCTCAGGAACAGGGCAGGGATGTCAACTATATATTCAATCAACCTATTTCCAGTTTCGATATGACTGTTGAACAGAGCATTTGCAAAATGGCTAGATCAAAATATCCCATGAATCCTCCAAATATTCAAAACTGGAAATCTATCCAAAGATCCCATTTAAAATCCTTAACCTTTATTATAGTAAAGAAATATAAGAAAGCCCTGGGGAAACCAGTTATTCTCTAGGCCTTATTATAAATCATCAAATCAATTTATATTTATTGAATGCCTACATACAGATGAGAAGGCAGTTGGCCTGAGATTCTGCTTCTATAAATTGGAAATTTTAATGCCTGTTTCTGTGGGAACTTTAAGTATTTGAGAGACATTTCTTGTCTGATACTCCTATTTTAGCCCTACAGAGCAACCATAGACATATGCGAGAAAGGAACATATGTCTTTGGCTGAAAAACATCAACTTATGATTTATCTAGTAAATGAACTTGGCTTCAGAATCTGACTTCAGATTGTAACCTATAATAAACTGTATAAATATGTTTAGTTGGTCTTATCTATAAGTAAACATCCTGAAATCCATGGTACTATACAATAACTACTTATAACTAGTATCATAAAATTAAGTTATATATGCAAAAGAAACAAAATGCAAAACATAATATAAAATCAAATTATATAAAGAAACCTAAAAGTTAGTTTTTTTTTAAAACAACCATTTCAAATAAAGGACTTTATCAGTATTACTTCCTAAATAGCTAAGATGGAAAAAACTAAAAGGAGAAATAATTATAAGGTATATAAGGAAGACATCCATATTGCTAATGAAACCAAGCCTATACCTGCCATGCTGTAAGGCAAGAGGTGCACATCAAATGCCCACAAGGCTCAATCTTGACATCTTTGTCATTTTCTGCACAAATTTTACAGAGCTGAAAAGTAGAGCCCATTTCACAATATAATTCATATTGTTCCTGAAATTTGAGAAAAAAGACACAATATTAATGTATTTCCAGCAAAAATTGTTAATACTGAATTTTTCCAAAAATAATGATGTACAGTAAGTATTTCACAGTGATCATATCAGAATTATGTTAACATTTAAGACATGGTTTAAATTCATAATCACAATTTATTCTACAATATTCATTTTAAAAATGTTTGAACTTTCATAAGCTATTTTATAAGCTTTTTAATAATTCAGATTATTTAATGTTCTGTTACGGATCATTTAGGAAGGGACTTGCTTCAACAGTCACAGTCATTCAAACGACAAAACCCGTGGCTTTAAGATGGCAATATAAATCATTTTATCTTTTTGGTAAATGCTACATGCTCACTTAACTTCACTGTCAAATTAAAAAATATATATATATATATAGTTTTGGCTAAACACTAAATTTTATTTCTTTGGTATCCTTAGAAATTCCAAAATGGAAGAAAAGCAACAAACATTTTCCAAGCCTTTCCTGCATGGAAAAGCCGTGGTCCACACTATTTCATGTAATCTTCAAGCCTAAGAAGATGTATATTGAACTTAAGAAAAAATATCTGAGGCTCAGTAAGTTTAAATCATTTTCTTCAAACTCTAAATTAAGTCTCAGAATCAGAAGTGCATACTCTTTTCCTATCTAACACTGTCAAGAAGACTAATTACTTCAGTAACCAAAAATTGTTTTATTAAACTTCATCCTCTTGATTTACTAGGGTTTTTAGCTTACAACATTTGGCATAGTATAATTCTCAGTGATAAAATATTGAAAAGATCTGTGTGACAAAGAAGATATAAACAGATTGGTAAATGTAAATAAAATATTAAAAAAGCACTGAGAGATACAAAGAAAGATTTTGAAATCAAAATTTGCATAAAGCAACATTTTAGCCAAGTAAGTGTCTACAATGTGTATGGCCTCAAGTAGGATAAATAAATAACAATATTAAGTTAATAATCTACTAAAGATATCACAATCCTGGTAAAAAATATATATGTACATATACATACATAGATACACATACATGTACATGCTTAAACATACATATGTATATAAATACATATTGTGTCTACAATGATGTATATATGTGTCAATATATAATTTTTAGGGAAATTAAAGAAAAAGACAAGAGAGAATGGATCTAGATTGAAAAGAAATAACTCTAATGTAATCCAAAATAAATTATAAATTGTTGATGTCCCTGAAATAATAGATTAGTATTGATTATGGTTATGACTATTCAAAGAACAAATTTGCAATTATAAAAAAATTACAATATGCCAAAAATCACAGATGTAAAACTAATATAACCTAAGGGATAAGAATATTTATGAGTAACTTAAGGGGATGATATTACTTCTGAAGATTTATTTTTTTAAATGGTTTTATAAACAGGAACTGTCTTTCATGAGTATCCTTTTTACACATTAGAAAATACAGAAGCACTGCATAATTTTCTTTGAATAGCAATCATAGATTTACTAATTTATTTTATTTATTTAAAGAAACAAGGTCTTGCTCTGTCACTCAGGTTGGAGTGCTGTAATGTGATCACAGCTCAGGGCAACCTCGAATTCCTGGGCTCAAGTGATCCTCTTGCCTCAGTCTCCCAAAGTGCTAGGATCATAGGTGTAAGCCACCATGCCTGGCCATATATTAAGTTTAAAAAGCTATCTACAAGTTGTATATACGTCAACAAGTATGTTTCACATAATAATATAAAGACTGCAGGGACTGAAACCTAGAGAATTACAAATAAAGTAAATCAGTATCTATTGTCTTTCAAAAAACTTTATAACTTCTCTCTGGTTTGGTGTTTTCCCTTAGATTTTTATTATTTATTATAGAAAGTATCAGTATATCTAAAATATAAAGTATTTTAAAATTATATTTATGTCAAATAAAATATTCAAAGTCTCCCTTCATCCTCTCTCTAAAACCTCAATCCTTGTCACTTCCCTCAGTTAAACCCTCTTACCAGCTTAGTGTTCTTTTATTTTCATTTTTTAAAAGTATACTTTCATGTTCATATATGGTAATTTCTTTTGTTTACAGAAATTGAACTTATATAATGTAACTTAACAAAATGAAATGTTACATAATTATGCATTCCATAACTGGAATTTTTTAAAAGTACAATGCACAAGTTCCCATGTATGTAGAGCTACCTCCCTCTGGTTGATGACGCCACACAATATAGTATGAGTACACTGTGGTGTGTTTTACTTGTAATTTACTATTGAACAACTAGGTATTTTGTAAATTTTTCACTTTTACGAAAAATTTTATAATGAATATCCTGTTTAAACGTCTTCGTGGGCATGTGTGAATGAAATATATATATAAATATATACACACACACACAACACTATATATATGTATGGACTTTACATATATGGAATCTAGAACAAAAAGATGTTTTCATTTAGATTTTTATAATTACTAAATATTACCCTCAAGAAAGCCTTTATCAACTTCCATTCTCACTCATAATCTATGAGGCTGGCAACAATGGATTTAGAAAAATGTAATTATTACCTTTAATAGGCTTCAATTACCCATTTGACTCTAAAAGCTACAGCATATAATACTGTAATCGTTTTTTATAGTTTTCTAAATTATGATTCTCTCTCCCTCACATTTATGCATCTACCTATGGATTTATCCATTTATCTCCCTAATATAAGTGCCAATACTATATTGTAAATAAGAATATTAACAGCAGAAATTTTTATCCAGGAATTTTCAAAGGTAATTTCTTTTCAAACATACTTAGAATTGCTTAAGTATCTTTTGTATTAAATATCCGTGCATGATTTTAGGTATAAGTAGAAAATCATATTTATTTTAAAGGTATTACAGATACTTATTAATTATACTTTTCCAGAAACTGTCCTTACCTGTGTAACTTTTATATGATCATGGGGTGTAGGTTCACATAATCCAGTTAAATCAGGATTATAACTTCTCCCATCAGGATAAAGATAACTGAATTTAAACAAAAACTTTATTACCTTAAATATATAAGCTTTAATTGCACTTATGACTATTTAACTGAATTATTTTATATCTAAAAATATATTTTGATGTTTAATTTTTATGTAACATATCAATAATTGTATCACTGTTCCATAATATTATGTTATCTTAAGACATTTAAAATGTAGAAATGATTTTCATGTAAGAAACACATGATAAATATGGACTCAGCCACTAGGCAACCATTAATATATGTCTCTTATATAAGTTAAAAATTTATTTTACTGGTCAATTATATTCTATTTCAAAACACTATGAATATATACCTATTTGCAATTATTATGTGTTTCCCAGAAGCACTGATAGTTAACTGGATCATTTTACACCACACTTAATACCAAAGAGAGAAAAATAGAATTAAAGGCCACAAGTTATTCAAATACTTCTGACGTGTTCCTGTTCCTGTTTTTAGTTTCACAACATCTTCTGACTCACCTTTCACTCTCCATAATACATACACATGTGCACACATGCATACACACACATGCACACATGTTTAAAAAATTAGAAATCATTACAATAGAAGTCAATAGAAGTCATGTTTCACTGACTTTACTATAAAGTTATAAACACAGAATGGTCTATATATACTAAGGTTCTATTATCAGAGAAAACTGAAACTTGAACTAAGAGTAATAATGCCATATTGTTGTGTTTAATTTGAGTTTACACTTGTTACTCAGAAATCCATTAAAAATAAAGTCTACTGTGTTGGTAATAGCTATTTTTGATTAAAAAATAAGTGATGCTGGTCCAGCTGGATTTCATCAATTTATTAAATTGTGGATAATTCTGTTTAATATCTCTATATGCTAGATGACTAGAATGAAAAAATAAGAATATAATAGTAGTGAATATTTTAAAGGGAAAAACTATTCTGTAAAATAACAAAAAAATTATCCTTAAATGAAGAGTCTACAAACATGTTAATAAGTGTTAGAATTTACCCAGGAAAACCAGAAAAATGAACCCAGGACAGGTCATTCTCATATGGTAAGGGACAGATCAATGAGATGATTTATTTTTAAATATAGAAAATGGAGTTAACTACATTTTAATATAATACAAATGGAGAGTATCATTAGAGAGGGGTACAAATTCTACAAAAATATTAAATGAGAAATTATAAGTAAAAGCTGATGAGGAATTCACTTTACATACTCTAAATTGGTTATTTAAAATTAGATAACACTGTTCATTCCACCTTAAAAATATGTAGAAATTCTAGGAAGAATTCAGAAATGAAAGATTATAAAGATGACAATAAAAGAGCCAGAGTAAAGGTTAAAAAGTTCTATTTAACCTATCAGGGGCAATTTGATAATTTTTGTCCTCAGAACTACCAGAATATATCTGATAATCCCCTTTCAATACCACTAAAGGAGTAAAGAATCTTGGATGGTTATCAAGATAAACTTCTATAAAACCTATGCCATCTAATATTGGATTAACTATAAGGACAGATAGTAGACTCTGATGTTAGCTAGAGCACATAATATCCTATGTTTTTACCAATCTTATTTAAAACATTATCTAATTAAAATATTAATAAAACCTATTTTATCCTAATATATCATTAGAGTTCAAATTCAACTAGCCAAATCCCTCTGAATATGCTTCTGTGTGTGTTTGGGTAATGTTAACAGTTAATTTGTACAGGAGTTTTGAGGCTTTGCTCAACTGATTACATTATTAAAATATGTTCCTTTTTAACTCATTTTTGAAAAACAGATGGAAGGCATGATAATAATACAAGCTATATCAAAATTACTCCATCTACAGATTTGCCCACTCATACTCTGTACTTATACATTGAAACTTCAAAGTATGTTTTATTTTAAAAAATAAAAGCCTGCAATCATGGTAAAGCAAAAGCTACAAATATGAATCTTTGATGCACTAGAGGGAAAATAAACATAACTGAGAACAGCAAATTTATGAGAAACAGAAGAAAGAGAAATACACAGTTAGAACCATAATTTGCCACACAATTCCTATAAAGTTCATAGCTTTAAAAAATGCATTCTTTTTCTTCACATAGATACTATCACTTTTTTTTTTGTAATTACTTTGCAAAAGGTAAAACTTAAATCATCATTTGTTCTTTGTTAACTCTGGTAGACTTTCGCTTGCTAGGTTTCTATCACAATCAATGCTGCAAGTTGGATCCATACATCTCTAAGTTACTCAGCAAGGCAGAGGGCAAGAAAAGGTAAAGTGATAAATTAACACCGAGAATGCGAGGAGAGGATGAAGGGAATGGCATGTGACTAAAATGAATGAGAACCAGATACGTTTACTACAAAGTGGCCTAACAGGCTGTCCAAACTGTGTGTGTGTGTTGGGGGTGGGAGGTCATTATCAGTCAAAAACACAAACAAGGAGAACTTATTTATTTTTATATTTTAAAAAAGAACAGCTTGAGGTAAACTGAACTTAGCTATTAATATACAATTTTGGTGTATATGGAGTCATTATTAGTGTAAATAAAAGGTCTATGAAGAGACATGGAAAGGAAGGCATGTAAGAAGAAAAAAGAAGGAAAAAAAAAAGAAATCTGGCACTACCAGTCAAAATAAAAAAAGTAAAGCTACCAATTTGAGAAATCAAAAGTCAACTATTTTAAAGAATTTTTTCTTAATATATACAAAGTTTTACATCTATTTTAAAACTACTTTTAAGTACCAATCTCTTTTCCTATGAAAGATATAAACATTGAAATTTGAAGTGGGAATTTATTTGCAATAACATATGGTTAGATTCAAATAATTAAGTTAGCTTAGGATGACTATTTAAAGATTTGAATAATAAAAACTAAAGAGCATCCATTATTTCTCAGTCTCAAGATAAAAAGAAAACAGCCAGGTCACCAGGCTCACCATCCATGCTCTCCAGCACAAAGCAGTCTCTATTTTTCAGATTTGTGAATCACAACTACCCTGACTCCTGTTTCTCATACTTACAACCCTTCCCTGCTGCCATCAATCAGGGCTTGAAACAAGGGCTTGTTATGAGGTATGGTCTGTAAGATATTGCCATCCCCGGTGACGTAGCCAATGGCCCACTGTCCCAGTCGAGTGCAACTTAACCGGAAAATATAGCTGCAAACATAAGAAAATTATGTTTAATTACATTCAAAATATAAGCCAACTACTAGACAATCGTTAGGTTTCATTAAAGAAAAAAAAACAAAACAGAATTGTTTAGAATTCCTGATAATTAAATATTCCTGATATTCTTTTAAGTTGTTTGTAACACCACTTACTTTGTCATTTCTTGATTTCTAAGAGAAACTCTGATAATTTCTTTTCATTTAAATATCTGCAGTTATATGAGAAGATAAATGAAGTTATAAACTAGCAAGTGATTTATTACCATCACATCGCATCAGGAGTGTTAAGTATGAAAGTGCTGTTGGTATAAAATGGCTATGATGAATTATTTTTGGCAAGTAAAAATAAAATAAATAGGAGAAAATTTAAATTTAATTTGTTTACTCAAAAAAATTGAGTTTCTAGTATGGAATTCAACATATTACTTTGTAATTTAAATATTAAAAGCAAACATTTATAGTTGTTAAATAACTTATTTAAAAATAATACTTTTTCTTTCAAGCATTTCAGCCATTCATCTTTAAATGAATATTCAAAAGACTTGAACTATATTAATGAGAAAGTACAGTAGATCATTTTAAAGATAAACTAAATGGTTGCCATTCAACAATGTCAAATTCAATACCTTGCAATAGGAAATCAAGATAGTTTAAAAATCAAAATCAAAAGAAAGATGAGTCTCTTAAAATTAATCTCTAATGAAAGGAGACATTGATTTGCTTTTAAATTATCATTATCACTTATTTGTTCATTTACTTATTTCACTTTCGATCACTTCTAAGTGTACTGCATTTAATCATGATATCATGATGTGAATTTCTGGATTTTATAACCCATTAAGCAGATTAAAAGTAAGTCAACTTACACATTGACTAATACAGTTGGCTATATTTTAGTACCCTAGCTGCTATATGTATGTGGCAGAAACACGTATCTCTTAATATATTTTAGTTATTGATGAACCAAAGACTGTAAATTTATAAGATATAATTTAGCATATTCAACGGATATGCAACCACTGGACTTAATATGTATATTTAGTAGTGCATGTGATTTCACCTTTCAAGAAAATTAGTTCTTTAAAGAAAGGAAAAAAGTATGATTTAAAAATATTATTAATTTAATATTGGTGATAGAACCTCTGAAAAGGACTTTTCAGGGAAGTCTAAAACACATTTCCCTAGAGAGTCTGAAAATGGGATATCAACTTGTTAATTCTTGGCATCATTAATCACAATCAGATAAAATAATTCCACATAGACTTATGGCTGTGATGTTATGAGAAGTACTAAAAGTAATAGAAAGTCACTATAAATTATAATTCAGAAGTTCATTATTAAACTGTTACATTAACAAATTAATATGATAAAATTCTTTCAAACAAAGAGTCAAGTAGAAATCTTAAAGATCAGTGTGTACTATGGATCTCATCAGAATTTAGAGTACATTAAAATGAAGAAAATAGTTACAAATCTAAATTGTTAGTAATTTTAAAAGTAATCCCATATTTATACATATACTAACAATCTAGTAAATACTGAAATACATGTGAAATTGCTCAGTTTTAATTAACATCCTTTTTTGTTGCTTTAAACACTGTTTTAGGATGGTGTTTCTAAAACTGATTATTATAGAGGAAGTTCAATCAATTCACAGAGATAACAGATAGCAATAAAAAAAATTTAGAAAGAGCTACAATATGGCTTTTCAGAACAATTTCTCCCTCTCATGCCCTTTTTTCCTCTTCCATTTCATTTGCACATTTTTACACCATTTGCTGATAACCCTTTTGCTGATAGCTACCCAACCTCTTGTGGTGAATTTTTGCTTTACTTTTAGTACCTTGCTTTCTTAAATGGCACACACAACATAATCAGATGAATCTGTTTCATGTTGACAGGGTGACTTAGGGTTCAGGGTCACTTTTTTTTGAGACAGGATCTGGCTCTGTTGCCCAGGCCAGAGTGCAATAGAGTCATCATAGCCTACTGCAACCTCAAATTCCTGAGCTCAAGCAGTCTTTCTGCCTCCGCCTCCCAAGTAGTTGGGACAACAGGCACACATCACCATGCCTGGCTAATTTTTCTACTTTTTGTAGAGATCGGGTCTTGCTATGTTGCTCAGGCTGGTCTCAAATTCCTAGTCTCAAGCGATCTTTTCATATGAGACTCCAAAAGTGTTAGGATTACAGGCATTAGCTATCATGCCCAGCCTCAAGGTTACTCTTTAATACTAAAAGTAATCCAATATCCAATGGATATTTCGCCTAAATTCTCCAGTATAATTAACTTCCTCAGGTAACTGTTTTGTTAGTTAGATCCCCAATAAAGCACAACCTGAGGAACCCAAATGTCCTTGTAATAAATCCAATTATTTTCCTTGTCATGAAGCCAAAGACATAAAATAAACTTTTTAAGAGAAAGGACCAGTTAAACACAGATATTCTATAAAGCAAATATTTATCAAAATTATTTGATATGTTCATTAAATATGGTTTCCTAAACATATTTTAAATACCCACATCATACTTTACATATGACAAATTACTATATACTATTCAGTTCATCTTTATCTAAAATTTAGTACAAAAAACTGTTGCAGGGCAAGTTAGGAAGGAATGGAAGATATTCTTTCAGAGAGTAGTGCCCTATTCTTTTAAGATATGATTGACATGTAAAAAAGCTATACATAATGTATATCTCATGATGCATTTTAAGATAATACTAGTAGATCTATGTTAAATGTTCTTAATCAGAGGGCAGTATTTTTTTTTTTTTTACTAAGAGAACTATTCAAAATGGTGATGAGACTTGGCTTTTAATCCCAACATTTCAAGGTCTCCATGATGTTGAACAAGAAAACAAAAAAGGCCTCAGTTTCCTTATTATTTTTATAGGATTGGACAAGATAATTTCCCAAATAACTTGCAATTAAATTACTTGACTGCATGATTCCAAACCACATAACATTTTTCAAATCATAGCCCGGGAGCAAGAAAGATAGTATATATGATACCAATCAAGAGAGTAAAATTATGGAAAAATCTGGTCATGAGAGATTCTCAAATGAAACAAAATGATTTGCCTAAACTACTAATCAACATGCAAAGTATCTGACCTGCTTTCATGGTCACAATGAGAACTAACTCTCCTTAACTTAAACAGAAGATGTCAACAGGAGATAAACTGTTTTCTGCACTTACTACCTCCTTTTTATATATGATATAAATTCCTAAAGAAGAAAAAAGGTAGAGATTTTTATTATGGCAGAGAAGAAAAGAAACATCATTGGCTTATAATTAAGAAAATATCATTAAAGGACAAACATCATATGCACTACAAATGAAATAAAAATGATACTGGAAGAAAAAGGTAGACTTAAAAAAAACAACCAAATTTGTTCCAAAAATTAAATAATCTCTATACAAAAATCAGTAAACTAATGGACATTGGAATGGCATCTCCTACTAAAATGTGAGGACTCTATAGACATGTTTCTAGATGGATATTTTTAAAGACATTGATGGGACATTGCGGAGAATATACCAAAACAGGGAAGATACATTTTCTGATTGCAGATTTACCATTAATAAGGTGTAATTTCTTGTTTAAAACCACAGAGGCTGATCAAGCAATCATCCTCTCTGAGTCTCACTCAGATTCATGATCTGGAAAATAAAACATTAATTCTGAGGCTGCAAAGAAGCATGAGATATTATGGAAGCCATTTCTGAGGATGTGAAATTGGTCTGGATTGTAACAGTGGGTTTATATATGTTTATTTACTTATATACATTTATATATGTTTATATGCATTTATACATGCTTGTATTTATCACAGAGCCTAATTGAATGTCTTTAAAAATATCCTAAAATAATGAACATTAAACTGTTCTATTTATTTTGTCTTTAGCACAATATTCAAGTATTCAAATATATACATAAATTTTGTCCACTAACACAGGTATCATGAAAACAGAAAGGGAACACATCCCCTTTCACTTTATGAACACTAAGTTTCAGAGCAAGTACAAGGTATCAATTTAAAGGACTCCATTAAGAAGCACCATTTTAGTCTACTAGCTTTTCCACCCACAACCAATCCATATTCCTAGTGGGTTAAAGATTTACTTAGGAAAGAACCACAGAAGATTTTTCATCTTTAAATATATTCCATGATATTGCTGCTAAAAGAGTCTTACCTTCCGGGTTTGGTGCTGTATTTCTGAAGTCTTGCTTTAACTTCATCATATGTAAGGAATGCCATGTAACCCGGATGCGTCACAGCTAAGAAATTCCAATTCCGTAAAATAGAGCCCCATGGCTAAAAATATAAATATATTAAAAGATATTATATCAACTATCGATTACGTACCAACTTGTCATTTAATAGACTTAATGAAATTCTCTTGGATATTTTTTAAGTTAATCTGAGCTTACATGGTTTAGGCCTACCTTTGTTACCTGATAGCAGACAGGCAATAATTTCATCTCTTTTGGAGAAATATGATTAAGCAGAAAACAGCCTTTTAGGAATAGAACACAGAGAGCAAAAAGAAACTCACAAAGTCTTTTCTCTACACAGTCTTTCCTCACTACAGCACTTATGATCACTTTCAAACATAAGTCACATAACTCTTTTGTGCAAAACCTCCTAAGTTTGAATAAAAGCCAAAGTTCTCATACATGGGCCAGAGGGTTTACAGAGTTTGATCCCCAGTTCCCTTTTTGTCCCTGTATGCTATAACTCTCCCACTTCCTGCCTCTTCTCCAGCCACACTGGCCTCTTTGCTTTTGTCTTAAACACACAAGCCCTCTCCCACCTCAGAGCCTTTGTATTTGTTGATTTCTTTACCTGAATTTTCTTCCCTCAACTATCCATGTCATTCCTTCCTTCAACTGTCACTTCTTCAACAAGGCTACCTGCGATCATCCTATTTAAAACTGTTACCTCTTGTCACATTCCTCACACCTCTCTGTGTGTCCATTTTGTTCGCTACTGCTTCATTTTATAGAATAAGAAACCATACTATGGTACTTGAGTGATAAGGAACATGCCTGTCTTGCTCACTGACGGGACACCAGGACCCATGCACAGAGTCAGATACATAGCAACCAGTCAGGACTAATTATTGTTGAACACGTCCTCTCAATGGTGACTTGTCTAAAAGGCTGGATAGAGTTCCTTCCATGGTAACATACTACTGTACTCACATCTGGCTTATCCTTAAACAATTATAGAATTCAAAAAAGGCATATGATAAAAAAATGAGTTATATAAAAAGCATTTCACAAAAATACTTAGTTTTTACCAATGTATCATTCTCTTTTTAATGTGATTACTTGTTCCTCCAGTTACCATGGCAAGAAAGAAAAAGGCAGTCAGTGATAGACAACTTTACTTGAGAGTGTGGATGAATCATCTCTGCAATATTTTTAAGGCTAAAGCTACATTTATTCCAAGGAATTGGCAGCATACTCTATCTGATGTGCCAGATTATTAACTTGAATCTTCTACATAAAAGAAAAAAAAAGGTATTTCATGTTGCCAAGTTAAAGCTGTTGAAATAGTCATCCTAGATATGATTATTTAAGACAGAGAGTTCCTGCTTTTGTTTGCTTTGAGACTTGTTTCTCATTATTGTTAAGCAAGTTTCAAATTTACAAGGCGGAATTCTTCAAGGATTATATCCCTTAAGATGAGGATAACAAGGGAAGGAATGATTTAGTAATAGTGTTTTTTAGCCTTTTTGACATAACAAGAAAAGTCTTCAGGGTATTTCCCCATCACACTAAAATACCTAATTGGATAAAAAAGGGGCTGTAGAGACTACTATTATGAGGGAGAAGTTCTGTCTATGGTACTTGAGAAAACAAACGCATGTTTTTAATTTTCGTCTTAAGGCAGGACTACAAATTGCATAAAAAAATACTTGGAAAAATATCAGCATATGTTAAAAAAAACTGTGAAATAACTGCTATTCTAGACACTGGGTTTTGTTTTGTTTTATTCTACTTCCCCATCTATAAAGGATAAGGATGGAATAAAGATCAAACAAATATTTGGGTCACTTCCATTAAAGTCCACATAAATTAATGGAAGAGTTATGAAAAAAATGCAGAACTTTATAGAAAGCCAATGCACAGATCAAAATACAAATTAAAAAAATAGAAAAGAAATTGTAGTTTTGAGCCAACTGCTGCAGTATTTAGCAACTATTTCTTAGTACATAATCCAGAGGGCCAATTTGTAATTGCAAAAATATTTATGCAATAGAATGAGTGTGTGTACTGTTTTTCTCGTGAATGCAACCCACTCGAAACAGTCAGAAACACGTGGTACTTACGTGTTTTTTTCTTTTTAAAGTATTTAGCCAACTAATGACTTAAAGAAGGCAAAACAAAGTGCTCTGGAGAATAAGAATTATTTTTGAAATTTGTTTTTTAGATAAAAGGAACATTTTTTTTACACATAAGAACACTTATTTGGAGATGTTTAAAGCACTGCAGAAATTAATGACAAAAGTGAATAAAAGAGACAACTCCCTCCATTCTCCCAAATGCTATTATTTTCATTTGTTTGTCTGAGACAGAGTCTCACTCTGTCACCCTGCAAGAATACAGTGGGACTTTCTCATATCTCATTGCAACCTCAAACTTCTGGGCTCAAGCGATCTTCCTACCTCAGCCTCCCATGTAGCTGGAACTACAGGCATGTGCCACCACACCTGGCTAATTTTTTTCTATTTTTAGTAGAGATAGAGTCTCACTCTTGCTCAGGCTGCTCTCGAACTCCTGAGCTCAAGCAATCCTCTTGCTTCAGCCTCCCAGAATGCTAGGACTACAGGCATGAGCCACTGCACCTGGCCCACCAAATGCTACTATTTTAAAGAAGAGGTAACATACAACTTAAGTTGGAAGAGGGTCCTTGACTGGTCTATCCAGATGCCCTCTATAGTTCATTGGTATAACTGATGACTTCCCTTCTCTTTGATTTTCCTCCTTATTCCATTGGTGCTATATATTCCATAGTCACTAGCATATTCTCTCAAAAAACTCTTTCCTTTTCCAGCCACCCTTCAAATTTAGTGTTCCTTTGCTCAACAACCTCATCTTCTCTACCAGCTGGAAATAGGAGGAAAAGGAGAGCAGCAGCACCAGGAAAAAGAAACAAAAACAAAATCCCTACATTCCCATTCCAAGAGCTTAGTACCTACTGATCCCAACATCTCCAAATAACTTTACGAGAGAAGGATAAAGGCAGAGAAAAGAAGAGGAAAGAAGAAACAATGAAGGTGACCATAACAAGATCCCTCAAATGAATCCCCAGCATTTGTTCAAGTTCTGCCTGACTACAAAGATGAAGGCTAAGGAGAAGCGAACTTTCTTCTCTCATTCCTTCTGCAATTCTCAATTTCATCTCCTGGCCTCTGCTGACTCCTTCCTCAAATGGTTATGCTAGTTTTTCTACTTCAGTCCTTAAAACCTGAGAGTGCACCTTACCCACTTTCAGATCCCACTCTGTTAAGTACCCTACCCCCAATAATGTAGAGCTAGAAGAATTCATTGCTAATTAACCACCAATATCATGGCTATAGCAGAATATATGTTCATCAGTCACAGCATTAACAAAACTTACATTTTTCATATAGAATAAATATAAGAATTTAATGAATATAATACATTTAAGAAAATTATTCAATTTTAAGGGTTGTATAAAAATAAAAGTTAGAACATCTACCTTTCTATGCACAGGACCAATTTTATCATGTTTTAAGGCACATGTATGATTATATTCAGAGTATTTTATTTATGGTATAGAAATCAAAGGAAGTAAAAAAACTCAGAAATATATAGGGGTTAATGAGAGTTCCTCAGCTACTTCTATAATCATGTGTTTTAAAAGAGATTAGGCATTCTTTGGAGCAGGTAAGAGCAGGTATTATCTAAAACTTCTATATAAATAGATCCCTTAACTTCTCCCATCCTAGTGAACATAACTAAGATATACATACCTTAGAGTATTAAGGTTACTTACAATGTTTTAAAATAAAACAGCTTATAAGAAAATATGTGCACATATTAAGTAGCAGTTTAGATAAGTATTTAACCAATATTAAGTTGCCTTTATACTGTTAATACATAACTCTGAGGCATTCTAGCATTTAATACCCACACTAAAAAGTGATCCAGGCTCACCACAAATACTTCCCAGAATGAGTAGTTACATTTAATGTATGAAAATTACTTCTACTCACTTCCTTCACAAGGTAAAGAAGCAAAGCTCTTATTATTTAGAATGTCTTTGTATCATGTTAAATAAATATTTATCGTGAAAAATCATCAGAGAATTTTAAAGAAAGGAGAGGTTCCATTAAAATGACCAGTATCAGATAACAACTTTTTTTCTAAACTGTATCTCAAAAATCTTAAAAAAAAAAAATTGACAACCAATTTTACCAATGAATAACCATGCAATTACTATAAATTTAAAATAAGCAAAAGCACATTTTCAGTAGTAATTTATTTAATTTCTTACCCTATTGACAAGGTAGAATTATGATTTTGAAATTATAATAAAAAATTATCCTACATGTATTGCTGACAGGAGTTAATCTGTCTTCTATTAACAGGTTCTCTCATAAATTAAAAGTTAATCCCATGCAATGTTGTTTTCTTACATGAATCAGTCACCCAATCCTTGCCAGCTAGTGCTAAACAGAATCATAAATCAGAGAAGTGAAATTCACATAATATGGAAAACATGAAACCAACACTGTACTCTAACATTTGTTGAAAGTTGGTTTCCTAGAGAATAAATCTTACTTCAGATTAAAATAATAAAGAAGTATATCAGAATATAAATAAGACTAGTTTCTGACCAATTCACCTCATTTATTATATAATTTCTATTAATAGAATCATAACAATTTTAAGCAGGACTCTCATTTTTTGAATACTTAAATTGAATCCCACAGATGATAAACATTTTAGTGGCAGAGTCAAATTCAAGACACAAATTTCAAATCTTCATTAGTAATTCCATTAAAACATGCAAAAAAATGATAGCATCCATATATACCTTTTTCTGCATAGCTATGTGAAAACAATGGGACTGATTACAAAAAAAAAAAATCAATGAACAGAATAAGAATATTCACCTAAAATTTCTTTACATTAGAAATAATGATGAAAAAAATCTAAATTTTCCAAATAAAACTTTGTTAAATACTGACATACTGTTTTGACGTAACATAATATAGGAAATGAAAATTCAAAATCATTGATGAGGAATATTTATTTACATGGAAAAATGTTCATTGCATATAGCTGAATGAGCAAAGCAAATATAAAAGAGTATAAACTATAGTATACTCCTACACAGAACAGTTTGCTATTTCTATGCTTACGATTTCCCTTCTCACCTGAGGAATGCAGAAGGCAAAGTGAGAGACACTTAGATAAAACTCTGGCAAATGCCCACCTGTAAATGTTGCATTCTATCAGTCACTGGGCTGACAGACCAACAAAGTAAAGTGAGACACTAAACAGGGAGTTTAAAACAAAGCTCTTTTGCATGAATCCTCTAAAGCTAACAAGTAGCCATCAGGTTTACAACACCTGATACTCCAAACTAAAGCCAAATGGCTCACTCTACACTTATAGCAATGACCGAACACACCAATAAAATTATAGGCTACCAAGAATGAGACTATTTTCCAAATGATTGTGTGTATGTGTGTGAGAAACAGAGGGACGGAGAGAGGGAAAACGAAAGAGAGAGAGGAAGAGAGAGAAAGAGAGAAGGGGGGGAAGGCAGGCAGGCATGGGAGGGTGGCAAAAGAAAAAGTGAAGGAGAGAGCAATGGGAGAGGGAGAGAAGGAAGGAATGGATAGTCTAAGCAAGTATAAGCTTACCTGAAATAGCCTGGTAAAAATATCAAATTCAAAAACTGAAATGTAATCATTGCAAGTTAAATCAATTGTTGATTTTAGAGCCATTGCTTCCAGGCCAGAGCTAATTTGATGGACTTCATGAAGGCACTGTCTGAATACTTTCCATGGTACGATAGTTCTGTGCAAGGGAAAAAAAATGAGTAATTGAATCAAGTGTCATTTAAGACATACCGTCCATTGAAAGAGTACAATTCAATCATAAAATTAATATAATTATATCTGTATTAAAAGACAAATAGTTGATAATATTGTTCATAATTCAGAACATATGTATTGGGTTCTGCTAACTTGATTATTTTGCATTTGCTAAGAATATGACAAAAACCTAAATTAATTTTTCTCTCAAACAGCCCTTGCCTATCAAGACATCTCTAGGAAAATATCTGAAAGAAGGCATTTGGTTAAAGCCCTATGTGTCATCACCTCTTCATCTTTGTATACATTTAGGGTTTTTAAACCATGAATCAAGATTAAATTCTCCTCTATTTTCTTAAAATAGTTACAAAAGATGGGTCCATATAATAGTAGAGATCCTTTATTATTCACTGCACAAAAGGGTAATGTGTATCCACCATTTCAAGGTTAAGGTGGAAAGTCATCAAGACATTTCTGCCACCACCCTCATGCTTTCTGCAGAGGTGAAAAGCACATGTTACCTAACCTTTAATATTAACGCAAAAGGAAATTCTAATTTTTTTAACCAATCACAATAGTTAACTTACAGCAATTTATTATGTAAACTCCAATACCCCTTCATTAATTTATTTTATTAAATATCATATACCAATATTTTAATAGGTAATGCATTTACATCATTCAAAAACTTAAAAGAACATAAAACCATACCCAGGGAAAAGTCCTCTCCAAATCTATATCCCACCTGACAAGATTCCAACACCCACCCACATTCTTTCCCGCCCTGAAAATTAGCAACATCCAGTATGCATTTCTTAGTTCATTCTTCTTCTTTTCATAATGTTAGACGTCTATTCCTGATTAGACAGAAGAAAGTATTCATATTTTTAAAAATGTAAACTGTAGCTTTTCACAATACAATAGCAAAAGGGCTATAGATACCCTTCCATTTGTTACCTTATAATATTTGTTATAAGATAACAAATATTTAAATCTCAGGCTTTTCTTTACCAGTGTCTCCTGAGAAATAAGACTAAGGTAGAATAAACTAAATACTGCCTGGCCCCATCCTATACCAATCTTCTCAATGAAACATCATCATAAAGTTTCAATTTTGATATTCATTCAGTAATTATCTATAGCACTGGTTGTCAAACTTTAGCATGCATCTGAATCATCTGAAGGGCTTATTCACACAGAGACTGCTGACCCCAACACAAGATATTCTGATCCAGTAGCAATGGGGTGGAGCCTGAGAATTTACAGCTCTAACAAGTTCTTAGGTACTGCTGAGCTACTGGTCTGGGGAACACTTTGAGAGTCACTAATCTACTGCATCTATTCACTGCTAAAGCAAAGCACTACTGGAGAATTAAAACTATAGAAATAAAAGATATCACCATCTCTGTTTTTGAAGAATACACCACGTTCAGGGTACAAGTAAGATCTGTAATGCTAAAGAATCCAGAAGGGGATATATGAGGAGAGGCTAGTTGGCGGACACACAGTAAGAGCTGGAGGAATTTCAGAGGAGTCTGTTGGAAATGGCACAAATGAATGGTGAGATAGGCTTACAATACTATGCTGTATTTATTTATAAGAGAGTTTAGGTTTAATGTACCATTAAAAGAAGAAAAATATGAGGCTTAATACTCAAAGGGCTTTTCTCTATGTATGAAAAAAACAGGAAACCACAGAGAACTGAGGAGAGACGCCACATCAGATGCCATTTAGAAGAAACACATGTCAGGGTCTGATTAAGGTTAACAAAATACTGCTGTTTAACAAAAAAAGAAAAAAAGGAAAACTTTTAAGAATATTAGAAATCTACTGACTTATACTTAAATATAAATATGCAATTATGTCCAGCTTCATTATAGTTACCAAGAAAGCAGTGGGTAAGAAGCATGCTTTTCTTTTCTAAACCAAAGTTTCAAATATTCAACATGCATGAAGGACATGAGTCATCATACTCAGAGTGAAAAAAATGTAATAAAAAAACTACTGATTTAAGAACAGTGAAGTTTTCATTTTTTGTATAGAAAAGTTAAGCATTTTTTTGTATGTAAAGTATAAAACATAAAGTGACCAAATAGAAACCTACAGTATTTATGTTGTATATAAAGTATACAAAGTAAAAAAAAATAGCCAAATAGACACCTTCCATATCTATTACCATAAAAAATTATCTTAATCCTGTATTTAAAGTAAATTCAGCTCACAATGTTTCTGGGTATCCAGTGATTTCTCTGAGCACATTATACAAAATGCATGAACTTCTACAAATTTCTGTCTAACATACTACTTCAGAATAACAATTTACAAAGGGACAAGCTATATTCCCACAGTACTTGTATAAATGACCCTTATCAGTTTACTTGTGATAAACCTAAAGTCCAGACAGGCATTCACCAAACCTTAATTGAGGGCAGTGACAAGAATGAAGAAGCTAAGGCATTATTTTTCATATACAAACGTTTGTACAACAGAAACCCCTCCTTTCATTACCTCAGTAAAATACATCCCATATGTAGAAGGTGGGGGGGGGGGAATGGTAGTGAGAAGGGGGTTTAATGAATGAAGACTAGAATAGAGTACAAAGACATCTTTAAAAACAAAATATAGATTGTTCTAAAACCATTGCACCAAGGATTTAAACTTTCTAAAGGGGATGTAAGTGCATACCACAGACTTTTCTGAGGTACATGGGAGGAAGGGGACTGGGAGAGTACAAATTTTCACACCTTTAATCAAACTTCAGCAACAAGACAGTGGTGGTTTCTACTACCTCTTCCTTTAGAGATGAAGTGAGAGAAAACATTAATGGCAAATTGTTTTACAAACATGTAGAAACTTCAGTGCACTGGCAGAGGCCTAGGAAAAAGAAAGAGGAAGAAAAAGAAAAGGAATAGAACATAAAAGAGCTAATAAGCCCTGAGTTCCCACCAATCAAAAAATTTAATTTGGCCAGGCGCGGTGGCTCACGCCTGTAATCCTAGCTCTCTGGGAGGCCGAGGCGGGCGGATTGCTCGAGGTCAGGAGTTCGAAACCAGCCTGAGCAAGAGCGAGACCCCGTCTCTACTATAAATAGAAAGAAATTAATTGGCCAACTAATATATATAGAAAAAATTAGCCGGGCATGGTGGCGCATGCCTGTAGTCCCAGCTACTTGGGAGGCTGAGGCAGAAGGATTGCTTGAGCCAGGAGTTTGAGGTTGCTGTGAGCTAGGCTGACGCCATGGCACTCACTCTAGCCTAGGCAACAAAGTGAGACTCTGTCTCAAAAAAAATTTAATTTTAATCTGTTCTATTTGATCTTTGCAATTACAAACTACTTTACTTGCAATTTGAATTAGTTTTATAATACACTGAAAAGCACAAGTAACTATTAATCTACAAAAAGTGGAATACAAGACCAATGGATAGATATGCACCTGTAATAATAATATAATTTCAGGATCTTTAGCCATTTATTGATGAATTACTACCATTCTCCTACATAGAAATCTACTGATAACTTTTTTAAAAGAAGTGATAGTTCTGTTCATATATCATGAATGATAAGAATGTTAACAGATAAAACTATATTATAATTCTGTTATTAGATAGTGGGTCCTAGTCTGTCTACCAAAAAATAAGAGTAATTATCTTTAAAGATCTTGAGAAACAGAGTATCCCTTCAAATAAACTAAGATCAATAAGATGCTGGAAAATAAAACTAAAAAAATATCAGCAGGTTAGCAACTGACAAGTCACTCAATCTTCCAGGCTTGTTTCCTACTGTGTACATGCGGAGGAGTGTGTCAGATATTTTAATTTGAAAATCCTATGAATTTAAGACAAAAGTAAAAAGAATAGAGGATAGAAAATGTTAGGAGATTGATACAAAAAAAACATTTTTATGAAACCACTAGTTCATAAAAGGCTATAGGTTTTATTTTTAACTAATATGAAAAACAAGAAACATTTCTATATAACAGAGATGTGAATACCAACAAAGGCTAAAGTATTTGGATGCAAGAACATTTATATACGTCTGGTGTGAAGGACAATTTACACAGCACATCCAGAAGGCAACGTGGCAACAAGTTTCAAAAGGCTATACATTTTGACCCAGAAGGTCTACTTCTAGAAATTTAAGGAAATTATTTCCAAGAAATATACAGCAATCAAAGACCCATGCACATGTCTCTTAAATGCAATGCTGTTTATAATAGCAAAAACTTAAAAACAAATACATTCACTAGTAACATTTTGTGTGCAGAACAATATTTGTTGTCATGTAAAATTGTCCATGGCATATTATTAAGTGGGAATAGAATTTTTCCAAATATGTCTTTTATAATCCAATGTTCAAAACTATCTATAAAATCTGGAGATAGCTTCACAAATTTTAACCAATAATAACTGGATTATGGAAGGAGTATAAGTGATTTTAAAATTTTTTATTTTCTGGATTTGTTCATGATTTTAACTCTTTTCATATTTCTAATATGCTCTAATAGATTAAAGGAATAAAAAATATTCTAAGACTAAAAAGTATATGATCATAAAAGTTTCAATTAAAAACAAAAACTAAAATAGTGTTTGCCTATGACATAGCTTTATATGCAGAAAATACAAAAAAAAAATTCCAGATTAAACTATAAGAAGTAATAAAAGACTTGAACATGGTTGCTGAATATCAAACTGATATACAAAATCAACTGCATTTCTATACATAAGCAATACGTAACTATAAAACAAAATTTTTAACCATTTGATTTTTACAATGCCATCTGTAAATACCAAATAAATAGGAATAAAGCTAACAAAAGATGAGGAAAACCCTAACCCTAACCACACACACACACAGTCTGTTTATGTCTTTACATAAAAGACAAAAACAAAGGGTTATAACATTTTAATGGACTGGCAAACATAAAGATGTCAATTCTTCCCAAATTGATCTAAAGATTTAATACAACACCAATCAAATATCCCA